CTTTGATTAATGAGGTTGAAAGTCTATGTTTTCTGACGATCTCAAATTTTTCTTTCATGATCTTTAAGTTTGCTAATTGACATGCATTGCCCATTATTCTTGTGGGGACACTTTAGAGATTTATAAAAACTCTTCCCATAGTAAATACATCCTTTACTGAAATTTGTTGTTCCAGTTTGTCATTTACCTATTAACCTTTTTTTAATGCCTTTTTTCAGTGTGATTTTGTGTAGTTGGTTCTATCAATATTTTCCCTAGTGGTTTCTGGCCCTGGTGTCATGCTTATAAAATTTTTAAAATAATTTTTAAAAAAATGTCTATTCGCACATGCACACACCAAGGAGGATACATACGTAACTTAGCAAAACCAAAACATGCACTTGAGAAAAGTGGTATGCAGTAATACTGATACTCTAACACTGAAGGATATTAAGTTTACCATTTGTGGAAAAGAATACAATGATGCTGGATTATTTACACAGTACTAGATTCTTTTTTTCTTTCTTTTTTTTATTGCCTAGGGCATGTGCGCTCACAGGAGAAAGAAAGAAAGAGAAAGCACCCCATAATGGGGTATGGTCGTAATCAATCCCTTCTCCATTTCCCCATCCTGTCAGGATTTGGGGTACGCAGGTGCTCACATGCCCAGTGTGCTTTTCAAGCTGCCAGGGATGTGAACTGTGGTCAGCCATGTGGGATCAGAGCTTCCTTAACCACTTGGGCTGGCCCAAGTACTAGATTATTTCTACTTTAGTTTTTCTACCACAGATAAACAAAGCAAGAAAAGCTACTACTGCCTGCCTCCTTCTAGAGATAACTGACAATATCTATTGGCCCTGGAGATGGTGATACCAGAAGCGGAAAGAGCGAATACCCAGTTCCTGTACACGCTGTTAATCTGGCCTATTCAGATTGCAGAGTTTAAGCAGTAATACGTCTGTATGCCTCTGTCCTAGGAAACACAATGGCAACAGAGTACACTTGGGAAAAGACAAATGCTTGGTCCTCTAGACAGAACTGTTACTGAATTCCTTGTCAAGTGGCTAAACCAGCTGGAGAACAATGCTGATTAATTAACTATTAATCAACAAGATGAAGGCTTTCCCTCCATAAATACCAAATGCCACAAGGACTATTACACAGTAAACGCCTCCCTAAGCCCTTTTCCCTTGCCTGCTCTGAAGTGGCAACATAACACCGCTCTGGCCAATGAAATACAAGAAAAAGTTTGCTGGGGGGGACTCTAAGGAAGTTTCTACTTATCTGATTAAAAAGCAAACAACAAACATAGATAGAGCCAGCACTATTCCTTACCCTTCTTCTCGCCCTGAATTTATATTTCGTGGCTAAAGCTGCAGCAGCCATCCTGAGACCATGGGGAAAGATCCAGATGCATTGGCCCTTACTAATATCATTAATAAGCAAAAGCCACTGCCAACAAGTGCCTACCATTCCTAGAATTAGCTTGTCAGAAAAACACCCTGCCATTTGCTTATACCTTCAATCAGGTGGGTTTTTTTTTTTTTTTTCAGACCAAGCCTAAATTAATCCTAGTCATTTTATTTCTTTTTTAAAAAATAATCTTATCAAATTATTTGTTTATTTAGTTTACAGTTATTTTAAAATTTGCTATAGGGCACATATAGTGACCAGAGAGAAATGAGAGAAAGAGATACGAGAGAGAAAGTGAGAAAGCAAGCCATCAGGTCTGGGACTCAAACCGTGGTTAGCCACATGGGAGTCCAGTGCCTCAATCACTGTGCCACCCATTAGCCATCCTACTCATTTTCTAATACGTTTTTTTAAAAAATTTCCTTTATTCATGATAAAAACAGGTGCATGAGAGGGGGATAGAGAAAGAGAGAGATAAGCACCCTTTACAGGGTCTGGTCATTGCACAAGCCCTTCTCCTCTAGTCCTCCAGCCCGTCAGATCTTGGGAACCCAATTCAGCCCAGTTAGCCTGGGTATCCAAACTACCACTGCCATACAGGAACCAGCTTCTCTTGGGCAGCACATTACAATTGCACTATGGAGCTGGCCTTCAAGTCATCTTTTGTGTAGCATGCAGTAGACTCTCAAAATTTTATGAGTGAATACAGGTGAGATTCGGGAAGGCTAACTGCTCCTGGGGAATTAGGTGATTCAAAAAAATCTCAACCAGGAATGACAGAAAATTGATTTCTAAATGATTTAGTGGCACAGCATTCAAAAGATGCCACTAATATTTAAATCAGGTTTCATTCTATACCTGGGACAATAATGTAACTTCTTGGTTTGGTTTAAATTTGAAATATGTAGTCCTTCTTTGTTACTGATGTAATTTTTTTATGTCATCCTGACAGGAAATCAAAGTGCACTCATTTTACTCTACAACTTCTAAATAGACTAAATCCAGAAAGGAGTTTAATAAACAGCCATACCCAGACATTCACTTACACAATATGGGTGAGCACATGGGGTCACAAAGATCTAAATGTACTCGGAACCATCCATAAACTGTTTCACACTCAAAGAACTGGTGAGCCAAAGGAAAAATAATTGTGTCTGCCTAAACTTGCAGATTTATTAATACCACTTTTTAAGCAGACGGCGTGAGAGCTGACAGAGTCTGGTAACAAACTAAATATAATCATGTACCACATAACTGCAGACCAGTCAGTAGCAGGCCCCATATGGGATGATGGTTTTATAAGATTTAACCATACAACCTAGCTGTGTAGCAGGCTATACCAGTAGGTTTGTGTAAATATGTTTGCACAATGACAAAGTCCCCTAATGACATTAAATGACACATGGCTGTACTCTCGAATGAGAAGGTTCTATGAAGTTTAAGGGATAGAGCTGGCAAAACCACCACGTGCCTACACTATGACCAATAATTTCATTTGCTCAATATTTATGTTTAAAAATGGTTACCATACCATTATTTACAACAATTAAAAATTATTTAAGTTTTCATCAATCAATGAATGGCTAAAAACATGAAAGTATGAGTAAGTTATTCTTTGGGGAAGAGTTTTTTTTTTTTTGGCTATAGGGCATGTACACTTGCTAGAGAGACAGAGAGAGAGGCAAAAGACAGAAATCGCCCCCTGGGGGGGGATGGCCACACTGCAATCCCTTCTCCTCCATTTTCCTCTTGGAACCTTGGGAATGTATGCACATGCGCCCAGCTTAAGTTTTAAGCCATTGGATCTAGGACTTGAACTGCAGTCAACTACATGGGGCTCCAGTGGCATAACCATTACGTCATCTGCTGGTCCTTGCAGTTATCTGAATTTTTTAAATTATTTTGAATGACATGAAATGCTCACAGTATACAACATAAATAAATAAATAAAGGGATATACTGGGTTGTTGGAAAAGTCATGATGCATTTTTGCACAGAAGAATATGCCATGACTTTTCTGCTGGCCCAGTAATTTCTATAATATAAAAAAGAAAAACAATATACTGAAAGGAAACTTACAGAAACTAAAAGATGTTCTGAAATGTTAGCAGTAGTTCTTGTCCATGTAGATGTACATGCATACGCACACACTTCCTAGCTCTGTACACTGAGATGCCCTAGAAACAATGAGCACCCCTACCCAGAACTTGGTTTCAAAATACCATTGTCTACTCAAAGGAACTAAGGCTCCTTTAAGAAAAGACTGATTTCTGGGGCTGGCAGGTCGTGTGGTAGTTAAGGGCGCTGACTCCCACATGGCTGACTGCGGTTCTAGTCTTGGACTTGGTAGCTTGGTCTCTCACTGTCTCTGTCTCTCTCTCTCTCATTCTGTCTCTCTCTGATAAAATTAAAGTAAATAAATAAAGTTAAATAAAAATAATTATTAAAAAGGAAAAAAAAAAAAAAAAAAGAAAGGAAGGAAAGACTGATTCCACAGCTCAAACAGGGGAGGTACAAGATGAGCCTCAAACATCTTATGCAATAAAGTAAAGTACTCAATGATTGAGGACATCTCAAAAAATTACAAGCCAGTTCTTAAAAGGAGCTTCCACTAATCTGGGACAATTTTAACAACAAGATAAATATAACTCATTGAACAAAATAGGAAAGTACGAGGCATATGGGTATAAATGAACAAATGAATGGTAAACAAATGAAGGAGAAGGGGTAGCAAGCTCCTCATTATGGTAGAATGTCAATTAATAAATACACCAAAAAATATTTTAAAAAAGATTATCTCTGGGACAGCAGAGGGTGTGGTGGTTAAGGTGCTAGATCCTACATAGCTGACTCAGTGGTTCAAGTTCCCAACCTGGTAGCTTGAAAACATGTTGGATGCATGTTTGCCTGTGCCCCAAATCCTAAGAGAATGGAGGAAAAGGGACTACAGTGTTGCCATTCCCCCTGGGGCGGGGGGCCGTCCTCACTTTCCCTCTCTCTGCCTCCCTCTGGTAAGCACATGTGCCCTATAGCAAAAACCTTTAAACACACACACACACACACACATGCACACACATATACATGTAAACACACACATACACACACACACACACATGTGTACATGTATATATGTATATTCCTTTCCCTATCTTGTTTCAGCTTTATAAAGTGAACATACTCTTTTGTGGAAACATTCATAATCCTCAACAGCAGACTCAACAAACACAACATATGCACATCTGTAGAGCAAGTTTTAGAGCCATTTGAAGTAGAAGAGCAGATGCACAAAACTCCCAAACACAGAGAGCAAACATCTGCGCTGTCCTGCTCCTCTGTCCTAGACAGGAGCTCAGATGTCCTAGGCAGGTGGCCTGAAGTTAAAAATAAAACAAATCAAACACCAGAGGCACTGCTGAGATTTACGGAAAGTTTTGATTTGATTTTACAGTAATTATGGAAGTGAAGAAATGTGACAAGGAGCCTTGCTATGATGCCAATGACAAATGGTTAACTGATAAGAAGAAGGGGAGAGGGCAACAGGCTGTAGAATAGGTCAATATCAGGCTGTCATGAAGCCATTTGAGACATATAATTAATCTATTACTCACCTGGCATCATCATTCATTGTAGTCTGGTCAATAGGGGCCATGAAGCTCAGTAACTTGCTAAGGACATGAAACCTAAAGAAAGCAGGAAACAAATAGGCAGTAACATTAGTAACTATTAACCTAGAAAAAGAAACACACTCTTACAAGTTAACATACTCCAGAACTGATCACGGGAACATCTGGCTCCACAGGGGAACAGGGAAAAAACTCATAGGCACTTACCACTCACAAGAATATTTTTCCTTTTTCCTTAGCGCTATAGGAAAAAGTCTAACAGCACACTGTAAATGACAGCAGTCGAACACAGATCCAATCAGTTCCCCCCAAAAGTAGATAGATACACTTGTGCTTAAGCAAAGCTTTACACATTAGTCCAAATAAGACAATGAGAACCTGACCACCCCATTTTCCCTCTAGGTACATCTTTTTTTTTTTTTGGAGAGGTTTTTCACTATAGGGCGTGTGCACTCGCCAGACAGACAGAGAGAGACATTAGAGACAGAAAGTGAGAAATCACCCCTCGGGGGGGATGGTCACGCCGTAACGTAATCCCTTCTCCTCCATTCTCCTCTCAGGATCTTGGGCACGCACACACACACGCCCAGCGTGAGTTTTAAGCCACCGGGTCTGGGAGGTGAACCGCGGTCGACTACGTGGGAGTCCAGCGACATAGCCATTATGCTAACTGCTGGTTCCCCTCTAAGTACATCTTAACTGTTCAGTGTCATTAGAGCTAACTACTGGCAACAGAGTCAGTATTGCCATCACATCTGAATGCAGTACCTCCCTTAACCATCACTCACTGGCACTGGTTCCCTGAGTCAGAAAATTTTCTGTAACTGCACATCATCTCCAGGCACTAGCTCCACTATCTTTCATTTCCCCCAACTTTAAATGAATGAGCACAACAGAGCTCATGACAAGGTTAATTTCTTGATCTTTAGTCAAGTTGTTATGGGCACTTAAGTTACATCACCGACATTTCCTGGCTAAAACGGTATTTTTATACAAAGTGCTTTGAGATTCCTGGTGAAAGGGGCTGAACAAATATATGACCAAATTATACCAAGAGAATTCAGAGAGGCATCCCTTTCTATTCATTACAATGGAAGAGGCACATAGGAACACACACACACAGACACACACACACACAGTGAGCCCTTGAACAATGCAGTGGTGAGAGGCGTTAATACTCCCAGGTATAATTTTTGACTGCCCCAAAACTTAATCACTAATAACCTACTACTGACTGGAAACCTTGTGGAAACATAAACATCCAATTAACACAGTCTGTATATATTATAGGTACTACATGCTATAGTTTTATAATAAAGCTAAAAAAGAGAAAATCTTAAGAGAAACTACATTTACAATATTTATTGGGAAAAAATCTGCATATAAATAGACCCATGCAGTTTAAATCCATGTTGTTCAAAGGTCAACTGTATTGTATATGTATATACATAATTATACAGGCACACACACATAGACATATATAAATACATATATATTATGTGTGTATATATATACATATGTATTTCTATATATTTATAAACTTATATTTATATGTGTGTGTGTATATATATATATATATACACACATATATATGTATATATATATATATGTGTATATATATATATATAATTCTAACAAAAAGAAAATTACTTGAGCAAAATGCTACCCACAAACAAAAATATATTTTTGTGTGCATGCTTTAAAATTTTAGAAAGATTTTTACACTTCATTTTTTTTTTAAGAATTGTTTTATTTAGCTATTTATTTATTTATTTAAATTTGATCAGAGAAAGACAGAGAGAGAGTGAGAGAGAGAGAAAGTGAGAAAGTAAGCCACCAGGTCCGAGACTTGAACCATGGTCGACCATGTGGGAGTCCGGTGTCCTTAACCACCATGCAGCCTACTGGCCCCTAATCTTTCTTGTTTTATATTGGGTCTCACCATGTTGCTCAGGCCAGTCTCTAGCTTGCAACCCTGCTGCTTTGGCCTCCCCAGTCCCTGGGATTGCAGGTGCTCCCCTACCATGCTGGCTGCACATCAGATAATTTGATTCTCAATTGTATCCTCACAGCTAGGCCTCCCAAACTGCATTATTTCTCTCAACAAATGGAATTTCACAAGAATAACAGTGATGAGATTTTCCCATTACAAAAGTAATAGAATAAATCATTACAGAAAATTTGGAAAACAAAGAACATGCTAAAAATGCAGTTCCTCTACCTGAGGAGAAACAACTGTAGTTACCACTTTGATAGCTATGTGGATTTTACACAGTGATACACACACACACACACACACACACACACACACACACACACTTTCTCACTCAGTATTCTAAACAATACCTGAGTGACTACATACACTTCCAGGAGTGGAAGTACTATATTTTTCATATTTTTGAACATTTATACTGCTTGTAATTCTTCACTTTTTATAAGATGAAAAACAAACAAACAAAAAACTATGTATAAAACTTGGTATGCTGGGTGTCTTAAAAGTCTGTCTTATGCTCTAATCATAAAAATTAATAAATAGCTCTTTTTCTAAAGTTTACTTATTTCATGAGAGACAACTACCCTTGTCAGGGTCTCATTATGCCTTAATTGTTCTCCTTGCCTTCTGGTCACCCAGGATCACAAATGCACCCCTGGGTAGGCACCTGGTATTTTTCGGTACACCCAGGATTCAAACCTAGGACCTTCCTATTATGGCCCCAGTGTTTTATAGTAGTGGCCTACCACCTGCGTCACCACAGTCAGGCTGAAAAATTACTATATAATTTTTATTAAAAGAATCCAAATACAGAGAACTGAAAAGTTCCCTATAGTCTATCCTGAAATAATCATTGTTTGAAACTTAAGTTTGAATGTAGCTTTCATGTTTAAATATAAATGTAATATATTCTTAACATAAAAATGATGTTGTAGTATACTTACTATTCTGTATTATGTTTTTTCTCTATTGAACCACATAGCATAGCCCACTCTTTTTCATAGTTTCATAGTATTGTGTCAATGCATTGTAACTTCTTTATTAATATTCTATTGGTAGACATTTATACAGCCTTTCCTCTTTTAAAAACGTACTAAACAGACCCGGCTGCAGTGACACAAGTGGGAGGTCTGCTGTGCCATTGCTGGGGCTGCATGGGAGGAGGTCCGGCTTTCCTTCTTGGTCCATCTTGAACTGACCAGTGGTATGCACCTGTGGCCCTACCTGACTGGGAAGGTGGGGCAGAAGGGGCAGAGGACAGCAACATGTGACACTGTTATAAGTACCTCTCTTGGGTCAGCAGGTGGTGCAGTAGTTAAGGTGCTAGATTCCCTCATGGCTGACCATGGTTCAAGTCCCGGATCCAATGGCTTGAAACTCATGCCAGGCACACATGTGGGAGCCCAAAATCCTGAGAGGAGAATGAAGGAGAAGGAATTATGGCATGGCCATCACGCCTAGGGGGTAATTTCTCACTTTCTCTCTCTCTGTGTCTCTGGTGAGCGCACATGCCCTATAGCAAAAAATCTGTCTTAAAAACACAAACCAAAGGGATCAGCAGTTAGTGTAATGGCTATGTCACTGGACTCCCATGTAGTCGACCACGGTTCACATCCCGGCTCACATCCCAGTGGCTTTAAACTCACGCCAGGCGCGTGTGCGTGTGTGTCCAAGATCCCAAGAGGAGAACGGAGGAGAAGGGATTGCGGCATGGCTATCCCCACTGGGGGGTGATTTCTCACTTTCTGTCTCTCTGTCTCTTTCTGTCTGTCTGGCGAGCGCACGCACCCTATAGCAAAAACACAAACAGAAAAATCCCCCTCTCTTTTTTTACTTCCTTGCTCTGTCCCCCCCTTTTCAAAAAAAAAAAAAAAAAAAAAATCCAAAACATGTCAAACAATACCCAAGTAAACATCACTATACATAAATTATTCTGTTTATTCATGTATTCCTAGGAGATAAATTTTGAAACGTGAAATTGTTAAATTGAAAGGTATGCTTATGTAAAATTAAAAGAATGAACCAAAATACCTTCCCAGAGGTTGTTGTGTCCATGTATGAAAGTATAAAAATTTACATAACCTTCTACTTAAATATACAGTATAAATACTGTTAACTAATGTCTTCGGGCTTCACCAAACTTCATGTCCATGTGAAAAAATGAACACTATTTCTGACTATGACCAAAGATTTCATTCACTTTTGGACAAAGACCATGAACTGTGGAGTTGCGCTGTCCAATGCAGTGGCCAATAGCCACATGCGATGACTGAGTATTTGAATTGAGATGCACTATCATTATAAGACACACACCAGATTTTGAAGAATTAGATCGAAAAAAAAAAAAAAGAATGTAATATGTATTTTTCATCATTTTTTTAATAATAAATTATTGAAAAAATTTTTTACATATTGGGTTAAAATGAATTTTTTCATTTCTTTTTTAATAATTATTTTATTTATCTTTATTTTATTTTTAATTTGACCAGAGGACAGAGTGAGAGAAAGAGAGGAAATGAGAAAGCAAGTCACCAGATCCAGGACTAGAACTGCAGTCAGCTATGTGACAGCCCAACTTAACAACCACCATGCCACCTGCTGGCCCTGGTAATGTGTTCTTTCAAAAAAAAAAAATAATAATAATTCCAATTGTTATTATCATTTTTTAATTTGACCAGACAGAGATAGAGAGAGAGAGAAGGAAAGTGAGAAAGAAAGCCTCCAGGTCTGGGATGTGAACAGCTGTGGCCATGTGAGAATCCAGCCTTTTAACCTACCACACCACCTGCCGGCCCCTGCTTTTGGTTCAGTGATTTTTGCCTAATCTCAGTGCTGCTGAGAAAGGGTCCATGTTTTAAACCCCTTTTACCAACCACACAAAGAAAAGAGAAGTATAATTCTGTTGTAGAAGAATAGACCAAAATAGTAAGACATCTTGTGATTAAAAGACAAAGATTTATATGATAATTTCTGATTTTACCATGACTAAATACATTTTTATATAATATTGTGTAAAATATTGATAACCACCGATTATAATTATTTCCAAAACACAAAATATTTC